CAAGGGTCACATGTGGAGGAACACAACGGCCACAGATGGAGCATGAACTGTTTTCCATTAGCACCTGAATTCTTCCCGTTTTTTGAGGGGTTCGTGTTGATCAATCTTTAGACTTTTACATAGTGTATTATGGACTTTTTTTTTGTCTATTGGCCATGGTATTGTCTGTTTTTCTACAGCCTATGGCTTTTGATTGTCGTCTTGTTATCTTCTCACATTTTGTGCTGCATTCATAGTTGAAATTGGATAAAATATGTAACAAATTGATCAGTTTGATTGAAGCATACAAGCTGCAATTTTGTAAAAGATAAAATGATAAAAATAAAAAAAGTCATGGTAATCTTGAAGCCAAAACAGATATAAAGACCTCTTACAGAAACAAACCATTAGGGAAGAAACCAAGATTTTAAAATTCAATCCATATATAGCGGTCTATTTTGTAACTTTGACCTCGACCATGGACTAATTGACCGCGAAATCGACAGGATTTGTCTCTATTCTATTGTCAATCACTGTTACAAGTTTATTTAATATTCAACTTGTGTACCCAAAGAAATCACAAAAAAAAACCCAAATTGCTCCTCATAATTCAATATTTTCGGTCCATTTTAGCACGTGTGACCTTGATCTTTGATAATTTGCCCTGGGTATAAAAATGGCTATTTTCCTAACCAATGACTTCCATCTACATAATTTTCATTTAAGTTCAACAAAGGAAATTCTATATCATCTGGAAACTAATTCAACACAAACCATTTTTTAAGTAACGGAGACCTTGACCTTTAATCCTAAAATCCATTGTCTTCTCCCCTTGCCTTTATCTTCTATCTATACATTGATAGTAAAAAAATATCCGATAAAAAACGTTAAAAGCAAACGGTATGGACATACGAAGGCTAATATCATAGGACTAAAGAACTGCTATAAGAGATCACTTAACATATTGAAGTTCTTGTAGATCTTATCTTGCTGATCAGTAGGTGTATTCCTGGACTGCCTACATTTCATAAAATATTTATTCCTCGAATGCCGAAAAAATGAATTGAATAGATGTTGTTATAATGAATGGGTGTTAGAACAACATTTGATTATTAGAATCAAAGTACTGAAGTACTGAACATCGGATGACCACAAGTTCTTGAGGATGGTCAAAAGCACATGTTTCAGAAAAAGACAACATATCTCGTTACCTGAAACTGAGGTTAATGAACAGAGATATATTTTTTTTCTGAGACAAGTTCGTGCGTGGATGATGAATAAATGACAGGAAATTCAACTTCACCGTAATAACTATTATATTGTAGTGATACAAATCAGTATACACTGATTTGTTGTTATATATTATATTAAAATAACAGTTACATATATATATGATTTGCATCCATTTGTATATCATTCTATTCTAATAATAGTGCAATGCAAAAGCATGGTGGACACTTTTCTGTAAAAATTTGATTTTTTTTAAATTGGATACGAGTAGGCATTCATATTTTCCTGCAAAAACAATTACAGAGTTACCGGTCCTTGCCGGTATTGTCGCAAAACGTTCTTTGAGATATCCTTCCGCATGCTTTAACACAATTTTTCGGTACGTGTGCATTGATATTATCAATGATTTTTTACTTATATATATATATCTAACTACAAATATTTTCATATTATTAATTTATGTTGTAAACAAAAATATTTTTATCAGTATTCATTGAAGAGATGTATTTATATCAAACGATAGGGAATGTTATTTTGCACTCGTTTATGTGCGCATATTTATCATGTTTATAGATCGGTTACAAACCCAAAACTAATTTACATAATGGAAATCTAGGCGATAGCAATACATCGGAATGACCATAAGGTCATCGCGATGTAAAACGGTAGTTTAAAGGTAAAACATATTTTGCACCTTTGGCCAATTAGCGCCAATTGCAGTTTTGAAAAGGTAACAATTGCGCCACTCTTTATTTTTCTGATGGTATAAATTGCGTCAATAAATGTTATCAGATTGCGCCACATTCATCTGTATATTGGTTTACCAATATTATATATGTAACCAAGGATTTGTATAGTAAGATACAAATCCTTGCTGTAACATGTATTATAATAAGACTATCGACAGAACACTCAACAAAATCAAGAAAACTCACCAATAAATAAATTGTTCAGTAATAGATTGATTGATTGTTGGTTGTTTATCGTCCAATGGCAAATATTTCAGGCATCTGCAGGACGAGAACAAATTAACAATAAATACAATAGGTAGATACTGTAATAGAGGCCGTCAAGGATGAAGGTCGGGGAAATTTGGACTGCCACGGGAAAATAAGGGTATATGGGATAGTGACAGAAATTTTGCCTTGCAACAGGCCACCTACGGACCCCTCAAAGAGTTGTTGCAAGGGTTCTTAACATGCAAAGAACGTGGCACTCTTTTCACACGAGGCATCTGATTTAACATCCCCATTCATTCTGACCGGACGTGGCTGCAAACTTATACACCCGCACAGCCAAACGGACGCCCCACTTTGGCGAGGGTTTTACTGCGGTCGAAAGAAGACTAACGGTGACCATATATCTGTTCCCCAGTCAACCTTGAGTACTTCAGTAATAGAAAAGTTTGTCACATGTTAAGATATCTGCTATTTTGTTCAATAAAATAGTCTGATAGAGGGAAACCTATCAACGTTGTAGAAGATTACAAATTTCGCCAGGCATTTATGAAGAAAAATGAAGAATTTAGATAGATATGTACAGTGAAGTCGTGTTGAACTAGGCTATTTACAGATGGATCTTGTAGTTATTTTGCACAGGCACTTGTCTCTGAAAAAAAGTCCTATATAGCTTAATATAACACAAGGAACTTAAATCGCATTTTTCCAAAATGACAATCGGTCGCGAACTTTTGTTATAATTCGATTCCTCGGTTGTCTACCCCAGTAAAACGTTAAGGTTCCCTAGTGTTAATTATTTAGGTATATAGGAATTATTTTGTTCAGAGACAAGTGCCTGTTATTCTCAGTGGGTATCACTGCATTTCATTGGAGTATCTCCATGCGCTTGATTTGTTTTCTTTGTATTAGAGGGTATCATTGTATTTCATTGGAGTATTTCCATGAGCTTGATTGGCTTTCTTTGTTTTAGAGGATATCATTGTAATTCATTGGAGAACTTCCAGGAGTTTGATCAGTTTTCTTTGTATTAGAGGGTATCGTTGTATTTCATTGGAGAACTTCCACGAGTTTGATCAGTCTTCTTTGTATTAGAAGGTATCACTGCATTTCATAAGAGAACTTCGATGGGTTTGATCAGTTTTCTTTGTATTAGACGGTATCAATGCATTTCATTGGAGTACTTCCACGAGTTTGATCAGTTTTCTTTGTATAAGAAGGCATCACTGCATTTCATTGAAGTACTTCCATAAGCTTAATCAGTTTTCTTTGTATTAGAGTGTATCGTTGTATTTCATTGGAGAACTTCAACGAGTTTGATCAGTTTTCTTTGTATTAGAGGATATCATTGTATTTCCACGAGTTTGATCAGTTTTCGTTGTAGTAGAAGGTATCACTCCATTTCACTGCAGAATTTCCACGAGTTTGATCAGTTTTCTTTGTATTAGAGGGTATCATTGCATTTCACTGGAGTACTTCCACGAGTTTGATCAGTTTTCTTTGTATTAAAAGGTATCACTGTATTTCATTGGAGTACTTCCATAAGCTTGATCAGTTTTCTTTGCATTAAAGTATATCATTGCATTTCATTGGAGAACTTCCACTAGTTTGATCAGTTTTCTTTGTATTAGATGGTATCATTGCATTTTATTTGAGTACTTCCATGCGCTTGATTTGTTTTCTTTGTATTAGAAGGTATCACTGTATTTCATTGGAGTATTTCCATGAGTTTGTTCAGTTTTCTTTGTATTAGAGGGTATCATTGCATTTCATTGGGGAACTTCAACGAGTTTGATCAGTTTTCTTTGTATTAGAGGGTATCATTGCATTTCATTGGAGTTCTCCCACGAGTTTGATCAGTGTTCTTTGTAAAAGGTATCCCTGTTTTCTTTGCATTAGAGGGTATTATTGTATTTCATTGGAGTACTTCCATGAGTTTTATTTATTATGAGATAAAAATCTAGTTCTTGGAACCACTAGCCTTCAGTGTTGATATAAACAAGTAATACTGGAAATGGTTTAACTAACAGAATGCATTCTTGTTTTATTTTACTTAATTAGCTGTGCATGTTAGAGCTAGTAAACCTTCAATTTAAAAAAAGACCCTGGCAGGACTGGTGACTGGTGAAATCACCAAACATTCTCTCCTAGTAGTGTTTCACTCTTATTGAAATCAAATCTTTATATAAGTTGTCTACAACCTACAGAACTATAATAATTTTTAATATATCAATACCAATAGATATTTTCTTGCATGTAATTTTACAGCAGAATAGAGTATCTCCTTTTCTCTTCTTGGCAGACCCCCAGTGCTCCGTTGGTAGAATGCTATCCTGAGGGAAGGAGGTTGTGATTTCCCTCTCCAGGCAAATACATTAAAACTGGTATTGCCTCCCTTTAGATAATTTGGCATTCAGGAATAAAAAAGATTGGTTGCCTCGTAACAGATGAGTCTAGGTACGGTGATATGTTTTCCTTCTGACTGTTACTGTGGATTCATTTATTCTCATGGATACCAGTTTTCGTGGATTGAAGAAAAATTGTATTTTCGTAGCTACTAAATTTCGTTGTTTTTTTTAAATCTGCATACAAGCCTATGAAAAATGTGAACTTCGTTGAACATCGAAATTCATGGTTTTCCTATACCCACTAAATCCATCAACTTTAAAAATAATTACACTGTACCCTTTGAGCAAGCTCATTAAAATCCAGGTTATGGCAGGGTTCTATTTTTTATATAAAATTAAAATGTTCTCCTCCTTATTATGGTTTAAAGATTACAAGGTGAACATGAGACATCAATCTTTTCATACCAAATGATTTAAAACAAGAAGATACAATGCCATTGACTTTATTAATGAAACTATCTCTCTAATATGTTGATTATATAAGAATAACAGACAACTAAAATTAACATTATGACTGAAAATGTTGAACACAAAATTGTACAATAAATGCCCAGTAATTCTGCAGATCTGAGAATCAGGTGTTTATCACAGTGTTGATATTATGCAATTCTGAATGATTCTTTGAACTGGAAAAACCAAATAATATTTAAGCAACAACAGTTGCAGGACTCAAACCTCATATTTCATCTTTGTTAGTTCAAGATACACTATATATTTTTTTAATTCTAATTTTATAAATCACTCACTTTGAAATATGGAATAACATTTCAAACCATAATTGATTATAATGTTCTCATGAGAGATTGCAGTTATTTTTTAATCTCACTTAAAATGGGTATTTGCATCATACAATGTTTCATGTTAATTAATATACTGTTCTCTTTTCTAATACAAAAAGTGAATTCATGTAGTTATGTGTTAAATAACAAATCCAAGACAGTTTATAAAAAAAGTTGTAATAGACCAGCAATTAACAAGCAAGAGTGTAACAAGCAGCTGAAAAGCAGATATTAGAATTAAAAAAGTTTTATATCTCAAAACAATTCCATAAATCTTAAAGCAAGCATCTGGCTTAATATTTCCTTTTGATAAAGACCCAATCTGATTAAAAACAGATTCTGTGTCAATGTTCTGTTTACAAGGATCTGTAAACCCTTTTCTACTTTCTGTTTTAAAGAACTTTTGAGATCCTCTAGTTTTGTCCTTAAGATACAAACTTTTAAAAATTTGTAGGCAGGCTTTACATTAGCTGATGAAATAATTACCAGAATAGAAAGTAGAATGGAGTGTTGTCAGATTCTGTGTTCAAGCTTTGCCTAGATTTAAGAACAATAAAAGAAGCTGATGAAATAATTACCAGAAAGTAGAATGGAGTGTTGTCAGATTCTTCTAAGCAAAGAGTGGACACAGAATCTGTATCTTAATCAGATTGTTAAACACCCGTTATTGTCATCAGATTGTTAAAGACCCGTTATTGTCATCAGATTGTTAAACACCCGTTATTGTCATCAAATTGTCTACATTAGTTTTAACCATTTCATAACACTTATATTTTAGATTTTACCAAAATCACTATTTATTTGAAGTTTATATTGGTTGAATTTTTTTTTTTCTGAAATAATTTTAATTTAATAGGCCATTTAATTGTCAGTATATGTTGTTATTTTCAACAGAATTTGAACTTTTGCAGTCCATCCTCACAATGTCAGGGTCCTTCTTCCCTTGGCCATTGAACCAAAACCACACATGATTACTGTACCCCACAGCCACACATAGACACAGGAACCTTGGCATTGTGAGATTGATGGTAGTTTACAAATGCAATTTTCTCCTAGACTTTTAAATACTGAGTCTGCAGCAACACCCTCAAAAGACTTCTTCCAATATAACAAGGTCTTTCATTGAAAATATTGTTTAGATCTTAATATACCATACACAGGCAAGAATAATAATTCGTTTACATGTATAGGCAAAATAAAAATTAAACTTTAATCAGAAACAAAGTCATCTATGCATTGGAGATCATTCAAATTCAATATAGTATATGTATATAAATAATCAATATGATATTCAACATCAATAAAATTAAATGACTCACAAATAGAGATAAAATAGATTATAAAGATTTAAAGATATAATTAAACACCATCATTCCAATATTCATCTGATAAATATATAAAGTTATGCACCAATTAACTGACTAAAACAACTGTTATTTCAAGGCTTAATTAACATCAGAGGATTTTGGGGTAGTACTCATATTGAAAAGTTGACTTTAATTAAAATATTAATCAACATAAATTTGAAAATGCAACTTATAAAATTAACCATGCTAGTGAAATTCCTGGAATCTGAACAACATCTATGCTTTAATTTCTATCTTTAATAGTTTACCACACAACATTGAATTCATTTGATCAAACTGCTTGCCCAACTACTAAACATAAAACAAGGTGCTCTTATACTTAGAAAAAAAAATGTGTGCATGAAGTAAAATATTTGAAAACCGCAGTAACAAGTGCACATATTAATATCATATGATAAACAAATTAAAAACATAATCTAAGTAGCAATCAAAGATTAATTTAGACATCTTTATATCTAAGATCGTCATTATTTCATATTTGGAATGTAAAATATAATAAAACAACATCTACTGAATATTTCAAATTTATAATATTCAATGATATGTTAATAATCTGTGTAGTATGGCAGTGGAGGTCACTTACAACATTTCTCATTTAATTTTTAATTAAATTAATACTAATCGATTCCAAACTAAACATAACAATAAGTTATGCATAGCTATCTGCAAATTTATTGTTAACAGGGTGTATCAACCATATTTAAGAAATAATTTTATATTGCAGTTTACATGCCTCCTTGTATTCAAGGGCGGATCCCGGATTTTAGGTAAGGGAGGGTACAAACTTATAAATTTTTGCCTGGCGGAGCGAGGCGAAAAATTTTTTGAGGTAAAATTATCGAAATATTCTTTATTCTGAGGACAAACCATACTTTGCAAGTTTTAGGAGGGGCGCATGCCTGCCACGCCCCTGCCTGAATCCGTCCTTGGTATTGTATCTTTTAAAAATTCTTTTTTTAGTTAAAATGAAATAAAAAGTTTAGCACCTTACTTCAGATGATTATTTGGCATAAATATTGCACATTTGTAATAAATGAATTAACAATTTTTAGTTGTGTAAAATTTTGTATAAACTATTCTAAATATAACTTCTAGCACTATCAAGTTCCAAAAATGGATATTCATTTAACTTTAAGCTTAGTACTGTGTACTAATAGAGATTGTCACAGAATTATTCAGTCTCCTCTAAATTATCATATACAAAGGAATTCCAAAGATTTATATCAAAAGCTTAAAAAATGTCATGAAAATGTTGAAAATTAAATGAATGAAAAATTAGTGTAGAAATGATCCTGCATTTAAACTAAGTAATTAGCACACATCTGAAAACAGATCTAGATTCTGAAAAATACCACTCAACAACAACAAGCAACCAATTACTACCTAGCACTTTTTAGCAGCACTATATCCTCTATGTTAAAACCTTAATCAGTCTTCATAAGACAATACCATCTGCAGTTAAATATGCCTGGAAAAGTTTTCATTCAGGAAGACATTCAATATCTAACAACAAATCATCCCCTTCTAATTTCATTCCTTTTTCAACACAGATTTTCTGAATAATTCCTGAGCAAGGAGCATTGACAACCATCTCCATCTTCATTGCACTTATAACTAACAAAGCAGCTCCTTTTTCAACTTTTTCACCATCCTTAACTTTGATATCTATAACTGTTCCTGGCATGGGTGATCCAACTGATCCTTTTACACCTTTAAGGGCCTTTGGATGGAAGTGAAGTTCCTTCAATAAAGAAAAGCAATGTATTAAAAAATGAACATATTTACCTTCTATTTCTTCTAAAAATGTAAGAAATTAAATTTCAACTGAAAATTGATTAAACTGCGGTAAAGAGATGAGAAGTCAAAAGACTATGACTATTCAAAACTGGTAATATTTTGAACATGACAGGTCACTCTTTTAAAGAAATAAAAAGCTGTTGTATTACTAACAGCTGGTATTTCTATTGATTTAAAGCCTTGAGAAGATGTGATTAAAATATTTTATTAAGCACATAAATGTGAAGTCAGAAATATGTTGTCCACTATTTCCTCAGTTGTCTTGTTCCTTTGGGATGGATCCACAGCCTGATCAAACCAAACAAGTGAAAATCTGTATTTTCTGCTTCTCCACTAATCATGCATAATTTAGGAGTAAGAGATAGTTGATGGCACAGAGTTAGAATAATGTGTTCTGGTAGGGTGACATGCAAGTTAAAAATTTAACATGTTCTTATCTTGAATATGTATATAATTTGCCCATTGATGTTATACAGCCATTCATCATCATCATGTTCTTCACTTGCTCAATCTGATGAAATGTTGTGAATTCAAGATGTGCTAGTGACTGTAGACATTTAGATTTTTTTTAATCATCTGGAATTATTGTACTTTTATTACTCCTATAATTGATGATGAGGGTGGTGAAGGAGGTGCATGTGAATGAAAGAACATAATATAAAAAAAGGGATTTCACAATGAACTGAAATTTTTTTTTTCATTGTACATTTATAATAATTTGCATAAACAATGGCAGATAACAACTTTCAAACAATAAAAGAACAGAGTTCCAATGTTTCCCGCTTTGCACATATTTTATCTATCTAAGGTACAAGGGCAATAACTAAAAAAATATATCCAAGGGGCATAACTCGTTAAAAATATTTGATCAGCATTTATTTTAGAAAGTGTTAAAAAAGACATTGATGATATCAACCTATAATATAAATTTCATAAAAATCTGACAAGAATTGTACAAATAAGAGCGCTAACAATTCAATTTTCCCTATAATCAATATTTCCAAGAGGCATAACTCTTTTATAAATATTTGATCAGCACTGATTTTCGAAATTCGTCCAAGACATTGATGATATAAACCAATAATACAAATTTCATAAAAATCTGGCAAGAATTGTACACATGAGAGCGCTCACAAGGCAATTTTCCATATAATTGATATTTCCAAGAGGCATAACTCTTTTAAAAATAATTGATCTGCACTGATTTACAAAGACATTGCTGATAAAAACCTATAATATAAGCTTCATATAATTCTGGCAAGAATTGTACACATGAGAGCACTAACAATGCAATTTTCCATATAATTAATGTTTCCAGAGGGCATTACTCTTTAAAAACTAATTGATCGGCACTGATTTTCAAACTTGTCCAAGACATTTCTAATAAAAACCAATGATATAAGTTTCATAAAAATCTGGCAAGAATTGTACACATGAGAGCTCTCACAAGGCAATTTTTCATATAATCAATGTTTCCAAGGGCATAACTCTTTTAAAAATAATTCTGATTTTCGAACTCGTCCAAGACATTGCTAATATAAATCTATATAAGTTTCATAAAAATCAGGCAAGAATTGTACCAATCAGAGCGCTAAAGATGCAAATTCCATATTATTAATTTTTTCCAAGGGGCATAACTCTTTTAAAAATAAATGATCAGCACTGATTTTCAAACTCGTCCAAGACATTGCTGATATAAACCTATCATATAAGTTTCATAAAAATGTAGTAAGAATTGTACATGTGAGAGCACTAACAAGACCGGACAGATGCCTGGTATTTCTATGTCCGCGATGGACAGGGGGACAATAAAATACATGAAATGAAAATATACAATACAGTGGCCCAATTTGGTGGTGTTACATCTTACAATGTTTATCCAAATCATTTTGCAAAGAATTTTGCTCAAACAAGTGCTAGGGGCTGTCTTAAACTTGCAGTGCAGTGCGAGTTTTTTTTGCTCCATGTTGAAGGTCTCACTGTGACTTTGAGATGAAGAACAGCAATGTAAGCGCTGTTCCTTCACTTTTTGTGTTTTTTTTACTCTGTATGTACTGATTTTGTGTCATAGATGGATACAGCCTTTGTTTTTCTATTAACTCAAGAATTATGAAAGTGACGCCACCCTTATTTGAAATTGATCTGTGTTTGTTGGTAAAAAGCATTGTGTATAAGTTATAGAACATTTGGTTAAGGCAAAGTATAAAGAGTGCGGAAATGGTAAATTCGCCAATTTGCCAATTTATAAAGAGACATAACTCAAAAACAGTGAAAGTGACCCCACCCAGATTTGAACTTGATCTGTGTTTGGTGGTAAGAAGCATTGTATATAAGTTTCAAAATCATAAAATCTTTTGACTAAAATTGATCATAAGTTATACTGAAATGTTCATGACTTATGATTATTTTTTCTCATGAGGTTTTAAGTGATAATAGTTGCAATATCTTACCTTAGAAGCCTCTTCATCTTTAATCATGACTGATCTAAGCTGTCCATTTAACTCAAAGAAAACCTCTCTTTGTCCATTTTTGTTTAAATCTCCAACAGCTAATACTTTGATTGATAGTGTTTTACCTTTTTCTATATCAACCTGAAATATCCAATATAAAAACTTTGTTTATTTCAAGTATTTATATTGTCAGAAGACTTTCATTCCTTTTATACAACTATATAATCTGATTTTATATCTTTAAAGTGAAATTAGGTAAAATTGAAGATTAGACAATTAAAAATACCCCAAATAAGTACTGACTGTCAGAAACTCAAAAGTTTTTTCCATAATATATTAATCTTTTTAAGTCCATTTGGAAATTTTATATGTAAGATTTTATAAAAGGTAAATAAACTTCAATTCAGCACCATAGTCTCAGATTTTAAAATCCTCATATTTATCCTAAAAACAGCCTCACCAGTTTGCTGATGATACTGTTTTTTTTTTGTATTTGTTTTTTAATCATCTTAAAAGTGTCACATGTCTACTCCAAACCAAATCTAAAGTCCTAAAGAGATCAAATGAAACCGGTTTTACTGAATACACATATTCTATTATACCTGTACTTCCTGAGCCATTTTTGGACCAGCCAAAAATAAACTGGTGTCTAGAGTATCAACAGGTCCATACAATTCTCTGAACTGTAGGAAATTATCAGTCACACTAGGATACAATGCAGAACTTAAGACATCAACATCCCTGATTCTCTTCCCGTGTTTTTCTATTAATTCTTCCTTTATTTTATCAAAGTCAACAGGTTGTAGAGAAGCTCCTGGTCTTCCATTTACTCTTGGTTTATCTCCTAATATCTGTAAATTTATAGGTTACTATAACTTGTTTTCAGATTCAATAAAGAATGACCTTCAGAGATCACATGTATTTTCTAAGTCTGGAATTCTGTATTCAAAAAGCATTTCACATATTATAATTATGTCATAATAACCGGTTAAGTCTTTTTCTTAGAAACTTATTGAAAATACTTGAAACGTCTAAAACTTTTTTTGATTATCAATAGACCTTGGAAAATAAATTTCTAACTTATATACTTTAATGAATTGGATTCCCACAGATTAATAGAAAATATTCAAAAAGATAAAACTGAACAAATCTTCTAGCCTTTGACCTAAAAAGCCTTATGGGTGGTTTACCTAAATTAACCTTGGGAATATTCTATATTACATGTTAACAAATAAAATGCTTCGCCAAGTGCAGCCTGATACGACCGCAGAGGTCGAACCCTGAACAGTTGGGGCAAGTTTGGACACAATATTCAAGCTTGAAACTGTCTGAATTTGGATTGTGATCAAATTTTTGACATAATATAGGTTTCTGACACAAAATAAATGTGGTCAAAGATTTTAAAAATTTGAAATGGGACATTTAATTTACCTAGTATGGTCAGATATCCAAAATCTAACAACATGGTTAGATTCAGCATATAAAAAAACACCGAAAATTTAATTTTAGTTGAAATCAAACAAAGTTTAATTTTAGACCCTTCAAACCTTAATATGGACTAATTTGAAAACATGGCCCAAAATAAAGTATCTAAATGCACAATAAGATTCAGCATATCATAGAGCCGCAATAATTCAGTTTTTGATGAAATCAAACAAAGTTTAATATTGGACCCTTTGGACCTCAATGTAGACCAATTTAAAAATGGGGCCAAATATCCAAAATAGTAATACAAGGTTAGAAATTGAAAATTGGTTAAAAGATTTGTATTTATTTTCAATTGAAGATTTCTTGCTATTGGGCAATACTGTGCTGTTACACAATAAATAGTTAATCTGTTATATATAATAATTTACACACCCCCCAAAACAAAATTTGTCCCCCCCCCCCCAAAAAAAAAATTTCTTGAAAAAATTTGAAATTTTGAAAAATCTTGAAGAAAAAAAGTATGAACACCCCCCCCAAAAAAAAAATCCCCCCTCAAATTTTTTTTTGCAATTTTGAAGATTATTTTCTTTTCAGGAAAAATGTACAATTTCAGAGAGTTCCATAAACTTTAACACAAGTTATTGTCTGGAAACTAGAAAAATGCTTGTTTTTAGCCCCTAATTTCTAAAAGTTTGGGGATATTACCCCCAAACTCAATCCCAGCCTTCCCTTTGTGGTATGGAACCTTGTAGTACATAATTTCAAAGAGATCCATACACTTAAGCACAAATTGTCTGGAAACTAGAAAAATGCTTGTTTATGGCCCCTAATTCCTGAACGTTTGGGGCAATTACCCCCAAACTCAATCCTAGCCTTCCCTCTGTGATATGGAACGTTGTGGTACAATTTCAGAGAGATCCATACACTTACACACAAGTTATTGTCTGGAAACTACAAAAATGCTTGTTTTTTGTCCCTTTTTGGCCCCTAATTCCTAAACTGTTGGTACAATAACCCCCAAAATCAATCCCAACCTTCCTTTTGTGGTATTGAACCTTCTGGTAAAATTTCATAGAGATCCATTCACTTAAACTAAAGTTATTGTCCGGAAACCAAATGTGTCTTCGGAGGACGACAACATGATAGCATTATACGAACGCAATTTTTTTGCGGTCGTATAAAAATTCTAAACTTTGATCCAAGTAATTTATGATGTCATCCTTGAGGTTACCCTATATAAACCTTGAAAATATTCTATATTAGATAAATGAAAACAAAAGTTCTAACCTTTGACCTGAGAGGTTCAGGATAACCTCCTGGTGGTTCCCCTAAGAAACCTTGAAAATATTCTATTACAGAAACTGGAAGTGACAAATCTTCTGCTCTATCTTCTACTTGTATGGTGTTCAGTTTGTTCTGTACCATGAACTGAGCCATGTCCCCTACAACTTTTGATGATGGAGTTACCTATAAACAAAAGATCTCTATTAATATAATTTACATCTATTTTCCAAGAATAGAAAAATATACTTTTAAAGATATTATTGAACAAATGCATGCATATATATTAAACTAAGTCCTCTATGAAACCTAAGATTTTTTTTATATTCATAAGATATCTGTAACAAATAATTGACAAAAAATATTTGATTCATTGATAGTTGATCAAAAACTTTGTGTGTAAAAGCACTCTGCATAGTATAAAAGTTCTAGCTACAAAACTGTAGGAGAAATTAGCTAGACTAATCATGTACCCTTTACAGGGCCGACAAATAGGGGTAAAACAAAATTTCATTGCGTGGGCATAAAAGGTGCAAACAAGGATACAGTTATATGCCTCAGCCATTTAGGGTTAAGACAGAGAAAGAGTAAATTCTGCTTTATTTTCAAAGGATGGAATAAAAAATATGTGAAAGACAGAATTAGAGACAAAGGTACAAGTATCTACACATGTTGGTAAACATCAGACATAAAAAGAAATGTTATATTTACCTTAGGAATATCACCCAACAGAAGGTTGGCTTCACAATACCTCTTTTTGACTTCTTCAAACTGTTCAGCTAAACCAAGACTGAAGGCTTGGAACTGTAGATTAGTATACTGTCCTCCTAAAAAGGAAATATAATCACTTTATCGCTATTTTATGTATTTTTCTTTTAATCTTTTTTGGTGATAATCTTTCATATCATGCTACTTGCTTGAGATAGAAAATTGTCGCTAGAAACTAAGGGAGCACATGCCATTGTCAATGTAAACATCAACGCATCATAGGCAAAATAGCGATAAACGGATTATCAATGGTCTTTCAAGCTCAAGGATGTTTCTCGTCCATATCTCATCAAAGGGTTCTCGCCCTTCATTGAGATATCCTCTCGTTTGGAAAACCATCATTAATCTACAAATAACTTTGGTGAATCCTGACTGCAAGCCTGGATTTGTTATTTGTTACAATCAGTAATGATCATTGCTGAAGATGTCAACCTGTTTGTCAATAACTTGTATCCCCAAAAGGTAAATATCAATAATATAACCTGCACAGTGGTTAGTTAAACCAACACTTAAGGTTTAGAGTATGGAAGTTTCTATTCTGTGAAAGTTGATATAATAAATATTAGATTTCTTAGGTGTTTGATACTTTTTAAATTTATCTCACAGTTTCTCAGTATTAAAGATGTATGTTTTATATAAAAATCACAAGACATTGTTATGCAGGGCAAAATGTTATAATCAAGTAAATGAGATTTACTTCTTACCTGGAATTTGATTGTCATAGACATCCGAGTTACCACTCTTTAAGGTTTTACAACATTCGAATGGACCATATAAGTTTCTAGTTTGTTCCCAGTATGATGAGTATTCTGTAACATCATGTAAGTCTATCCCTGAAAATAAACACTATTGTTTTATTCAACTGGCTGCCTTTCTCCCTAAAGAATTATTGGATGACGACATCCAACTAAAACTTTATATAATTGATACAAGAGCTATTTTCTTTTATCCCGTAAAGCAACTTAGATATTTCTCTCAATTTGTTTGTGCAGAAACCTTTGTTGCCCTTTTGTCTATACCAGTCACTCAACACTTCTATCAACAGATGCAACCAACATGTTTAATTGACAAAAAAGTCTACTTTTAACATTTGTCTTCTTTATTGCTTAGTTTCTAAATCAAATCTTTTTCAGCTTTTTTCCAAATCTATATCATGTTTTTACATTATTATATAGGTATAATGTTTTTGAACAGTCCGTTAGCCTGTCCATCTGTCAGTCAGTGAAACTTTGAGATAATAAGGACATATTATGGAAATGTGCATATCGACAGGAAATTATGATTCAATGTTTTTTCTAAGAGTTGTGCCCCTTTGAATTTAGAAATTTGGCCACAATTTACTTCTGCAACAGTTTGTCAGCACAACTCCTCTAAAACCACACAACAGAATTTCATGAAACTTTTGTGGTTAATGAGGACATTATATGTAGATGTGTATATCCACAAAAAATGTTTATCAGTTGATATTTGTAGGAATCTGGTGATATTTTGTTTGTCCAGTGACAATGTTTGGGCTGGGGGTATGTGAGTCTGCTAACCATGGTTCTTTAATCTTACATCTTACACATTGCTCACACAAAAACATCTTCTAAAAATAGGATCTTTCTATTGATATTGTATTTTACTTACATTAATTTTATGTAAAACTATCATTTATTTATGCAAACTATAATCTCTAAACATAACTTTTTAAATGAATAATTTTTTATCATCCACGAACAAGCAATTGTTAAAATATCTGTAGAAATGAATCTATATATGCCAAAAAATTACATAACAACCATGAAAAGAATGCAGCCCTCAGCTTCTAAATTCTTTTATGGGTTACATTGATGCATTTAATAAATGGACAATGAATAAAACACAGAATTCAGGTAGCACTTCAAAGTTTTCTCAATAAGAATTCTACTATTATTTTTGATGTTGCAACACACTTTATCACGACTACTTCCCCAATCAAGACAATAATGTGAATATAAATGTTTGTGAATATTTAAAATTTGGGCGTTCCATTATTTAAATACATCAAGAAAGTAAGAAGATTATGTAAAATAAATTGCCACAAAGACACATTGAAAGTGCTAAAGTTACCTGTATCCAGTTCTGTATTAGACACACTGGATACTACAGCTCCCATACTTGGCTGTGACGTCAGTCCAGACATAGAATCTACAGCAACATCTACAATATCTGCTCCAGCCTCAGCACAGGCTAACATAGAGGCTACACCAGCTCCTGCTGTGTCATGAGTGTGCACATGTATAGGAATGTCTGGATGATTATCTCTCAGAGCAGTGATCAACATCTTAGCAGCTCTTGGTTTCAATACACCTGCCATATCCTGTTAAAACATTTTCTAGACTTAAATTGCAAGTTTATATCATATATATCACACAAAAGTATAGCCAGCTCTGGAAAAGAAACAGATAGAAGCATATTTATTTTTAGGCCAATTTTCGAATCTTTTCCACTTGTAACTCCTGTATATATATTGAAGATGCATTTTCATTTTATGTTTATGAATGGAAAGCACAAATATATTGATAAATGATTTGTTTGCTTTTTTCATAACTTTTGTATAATTGAAATTTTAAGATGTCTTCCAATAATAACAAACTATAGTTTTTAATAGTCTTTTCTTATATAATCTTTACAAATAAAATACCTTGATACACAAAACATGTGTACCAGCTTTGACGAGCTCATCAGCTAGATCTGTATAGTATTTCAGGTTGTACTTTTCCAGGTTAGGGTTAGATACATCACCAGTATAAGATATGGCAGCTTCAATCACACCACCTGATAGTTAGTAAAGCAAATAAGTAAAAATCTCTTAATTCTAATAATTAATGCTCTAAATTATAAAGATTGAGCCTGAGTAAATTTTTGTCTTAAAAATGATCTAATAAGAAAAATTCACATTTTAAAATGTTAAATTCTTTTCATTAGAAATTACAGACATTACTGAAATTACTATCAGTACCACTGCTGTTAATGACTTTAGCTCCCAAAGGATACTACCATAGAGTAGATGATCTTGGATTTTGGAATGATTTAAATACCGTGGATTCATTTATTTTCGTGGGTATCAATTTTCGTGGATAGAGAAAAAAAGACGTTTCATGGTATATGTAAATTCGTGGATCGCTGATTACAAAAAAAATAATAAATTCAGATTCGTAATTCGGTGTTTTCTTTTTGATTTAGGAGATCATATAACCTCCTTAGTTTGATCAATAATAAAACAAACAAAAAAGAAGGAATTCATTGAAAAAGTTTTGAATTGTCAAAATCCTCGCTTGGTCATTCTAGGTTAAAGTGTTCATTGAAAACTTCTATTACAATAATGGACAGAGACAGCTAATTATTTGTTTGTTTTACAATTTATAAATTCTTGTCGGAATTTTATAAGGCATTCAAAACTCTTATGATTGAAAGCTCATTTCCCTAATCACGATATAATAAACAGTCATATAAGTAAAAGGTGTGAAAATAAATGTTCCTGTCATAAACAATATTACCTACGGGCAATATCCCTGTACTTAATCCTATTGATTTTTAATCACCAGTAAACCAAACTATGACACGGTAATTAACAACTTGCAGTTATTTTCCATGAACAGTTTTAATCAATTTAATAATAGTAAATTATCACTGATATTCGATATATTTATTATTGATTTAATCAAAATACTTGTATCTTCTTTCAATAAAAACATGTGTTATGTTACAATGTTTATCGCTAGTCACCACTATACTAGAACTGCATAACATAACCGGAAATAAACATCCGACTCCATACACATTTCTTGGGATTATTCTTCGTTGAGTTCTTAAATTCGTGGTTCGCTGTGACCCACGAAACCCACGAAAATTGGTATACCACGAATAAAAATGAATCCACAGTAGTGCATTTTAATTGTAAATTTTCAGTTCATGAATTATGTAACTGGACTTAAATTACAGCTTGGAACTCCTATGGTCAGGGTTGGCCTAAGACAATTCTGTCTTTCCTAAATTTAATTTTAACTCTTCAAAACATTATTTTGCTTGAGTGTATCTGATGAAGGTTAATTAAAAATGTGTTGTGCATACTGCAACTGGTATAAATGTGTGTATCAACATCAGACTTTTCAATTTAAAAATACAAACCCTTTATGTTTTTAATACTTTTTCAATGAGCATGTACTCATTAATTTATATGACATTTACACTAATATTTGTTATTTCACTTTAGTTTTTATTGAAACCTAATTCAGAAGTAATTAATGACAGCTCATACCGTAGTTAGGTGGGCCATAATTTCACAAAATTCTGAAATATATGGTCCATCATGTTTAATAGACGATAAATCATTGGATGCCATAAATTAATTCCATTGTGATAGAGAAATGTAAAAACATCACCAGAAGTGTTGTTGCATCAGACTATGCCAATCTATTTAATATAATTTTTTCAGCACAAAACATTACCTTGGTTTAATGAGTATTTCAAATGGAACATCACAAAAAGGAGAAAACCAGACATCATTTTAGAATTGATTTCACAAACAACAGAATTGGACATAGGTATATGAAATTAGAAAATGCTTTGTGTTTTAATTTAAAGCCAGTAATAATACTGTCAATTAAAAGAAATATTTCTTACCAGCCTTGCCTACAGCCTCCATTCCTACAATGATGTTGGGTACATAATTCAGTGAATCAAATACCCTGAAGATGTCCATACCATGTTTCACTGCCAATTCACAGAATCTGAAAATAATAGTTGAAATAATGGTTGTACAAGGTGCATCAGATTTGAGTTATACCAAAAATCATGTCATGATATTGTGCCTTTTCCGTCAATAGAAGACCCAATGACATATCTTACTTTTTTGACTGGTGAGACATTTTTCTTCTTCAACAAATTTACTGACTACATTTATAGATAACTAATTGGTATTCAAGAAAAGATTTTTTTAGTTAGTTTTAATTAATCAAGAATGGTTCATTATAAACAAAAGAAAAAAAAATACATTTATCAATAAACATTGGACAGTAAACTCCTTGTGTTATCTATCTAGACATCATAATTACTTGTATACAACATTATCTGGATAATTAGTGTAGCCTACAGCATTGGCTCCTCTCAGTAACATCTGGAATGGTACGTTTGGGACTCTCTTCCTCAGCTCCTGTAACCTTTCCCATGGACATTCATGTAAAAATCTCATGGCCACATCATAGGTTGCACCTGTACATGTATATAGGACATTGTATCTTTATTCATTTTAAAACTAGTTAAAGTATTATAACATCTGGTGATTATTAATATATTCTATTTCAAGATTGTTTTATTTCTTTCTATGATCTCTGGGTATAAATGTGACTGTAGTTTGTATATGTTTACCCCTTGTTTCACATGTGTATGCGACAAGAGTGTTTTTAAAATAAAGCATTACTGAATTGTATGTATTGTATTATAAAAAGTATTCAGTCAATGTCATTTTCCAAGACATATCTTATGTAAAATTTCTTTTATTCACAAATTTTACATTTATTACAAAAATAAATTCAAATTAATTTTTTTTCACTATGTTTTTTATACTAAGAACAATTTGTTTATCTCTAGATTTCATTTTGTTAATTGTGTCTGATTGGCATATACCCATATCTGTTTATTCATATTTATAAAAATTTTGCTAATTTCTAAATAAATATTAGCATAATTACAAGAAATTCCTATGAAAATTTCTTGAAAGTTTTGTTTATTTGAATTGAAGATACAAGCAGAAAAATACCCAAAAAAATGAAGCTAATTTTCTTCTGGTTACTTTTTAAAATTTTGTTGATTGCTTTACAAATTAAGTAAATTTAGTGATGCTGAGTTCATGCAACTGAATTTTCAAAAAATATCTGAATAACATACCTCCCCAGTTTTCCATACTGTACAAGTTATGAAACTTATGCGATGCATACGGAGCAATTTTCTTTAAATCATATGTTCTGACTCTAGTAGCTAAGAGTGACTGATGAGCATCACGGAAGGTTGTGTCCATCAATAATAGTCCATTATGTTCTCGTACCTTCTTGGCAAATGCTTGAGGACCCTCTTGTTTTAGAATATCTCTCCACCCTGGAGGAGGTGCTTTAGCTACAATAATATGTAAAGCAAAATGTAGTTTTTTTTATAAGAATGCAAATTCAAAATATTATAGTAATTTTTTATGTTAAGAATCAGCAATAGTATTAAGAGTAAACAAGATCAATAGCAAATATTTGTCATCTTTTTACTATTATTTCTCTCCTATACTGATCATCAAGTTGGTAATTTTAACAAAAATGCATTAAAATTGTGAATACAAGGCATGCAACATATACATATTTTAGAGATCTTTATAAAAAATTACAATATAAAACATGTATTTAAAACTGTTGGTCACTGATAATAAGAAAGAAAATAGATATTTTCATCATGGTGTACCAAGTACATAGTGAATATGACAGGTACAAAGTTGATATGCCTGACCTATATTTACAGTTAGGGGTCAATTTCAAAAGGGGAAGAACAGAATCAATCCATTAACACTTGGCACTAAAACGCTCTGTAAGTAAAAAGCAAATGTTCAAGATCAATATATCACCATTGTTCTTTTTTAATAACAGCTGCCATGTTGGTTGATAGTCTATAAAAAGGAATAAAACTGTCAATGGAAAACTAATTTAATTTTGCAATAATATAGCGAAGACTCAATGTCCTTAATATATATCATATTGTAATTTTAAAACCAAATTCTGGCTTTCTAAAATGACTTTTTGAAAATAAAATATTAACCTGGATGCTAGAATTTTATAACCTAACTTGTAAAGTAGCTTTAATTGTCCTGTTTACAACTCAAAACTGAACCTCAGATAAAAAACTATTCACAGTTAAATTTTATTTCTTTATTTTTCTACTAAATGACACACACGTCTTTAAACAACATAAAAATGCAATACAGGAGGCAGAAAACTGATTTATTTAATCTGATCATATACTATTAACATAAAAGTAGAATTATAAATATTTCAATATTCAATTAATCATATTAATACTTATAAAATTATAAAATTAAATTAAGCAAGCATATTTAGTTTATTAATAACATTAACTGTATATTTCAGTTTATTAATAACATTTACGGTGCCAATTTATCTGCATCATATGTGTATTGCACCAATAAATGTCTCTTCAATGATGCTCGAGGCCAAAATATTTGAAAATCCAAAACTTATTAAACTAGAGGCTCTAAAGAGCCTGTGTCGCTCACCTAGGTCTATCTGCATAATCAACAATGGACTCTCTCCAACATTGTCGACAAGAATAGAATTCATGACAAAATATTTCTTTTTTGTTGATCTTGTTTTGCTGATCATTTTGTCTGTTTTGTTCCTCTCTATCTTCTTTATTTTTTGTTCAAAACACAAAAGAGGGTAAATAATTCTCATTTGAGGGCAATCACTCCTATGAAGAGTGACAGTCTACTAACTATATCGGCAAAATTTGACTTGTTTGTGGATCTTGTCTTGCTGATCATTTTAGTTATTTAGAGTTTCTATTTATATATTATAATTTTTGACATATATGGCAAAATGAAAAAAAAATGGCAAAAATCGGCAAAAGATCTACCAATAAGTATGCATGGTCAAAATTCTCAGTGGACTACTAATTAAGAGTTATTGCCCTTTGATGACAATTTTTACCAATTTTTTGCATTTTTGCCTTATATCTTAAAATTTATATTAGATGGATAGAAACAAGATCTACATTTTAGACAATATGGTAGAAATTTTCCCGATGACTCCTTATTTAAGGCCAAAAACTCCTATAAGAAGTCATCTGACAGATTTAACTTAAATGGATAATAGTTAGAGCTCATCATTCTGAATATTTTTGCCCCTGTCAGAATTTCTCTATTTATAGCTGATTTCAAAATAATAGGCAAAACTTGCATTTTACCCCATGTTCTATTTTAAGCCATGTCGCCATCTTGGCAGGCCGGGTCATCAGACAACATTTTTTAAACTAGATACCCCAATGATGATTGTGGCTAAGTTTGGTTAAATTTGGCCAAGTGGTTGACTTATTTGTAGATCTTGTCTTGCTGATTATTTTTGCATTTTAAAATTTCTATCTATCTTAGTTTTTTACCTTATAGTTTTTAAGATATTAGGCAAAAATGCAAAAATGGTAAAAATCGTAATTAAAGAGCAATAACTCTAATAAGGAGATGTCTGACGATTTTGGTCATTTGACTTATTTGTAGATCTGTCTTGCTGATCATTTTTGCAATTTAAAGTTTCTGTCTATCTATTCTAATTTCCGAGATAAAAGGGAAAAAATTTTAAAAAATGGTAAAATTTGTCATTTAAGAGTAAAAACTCCGACAAGAAGTCGTTTGATATAAATGGACAATAGTTAGAGCTCATCATTCTGAACATTTCTGATATTGTCAGAATTTATCTATTTATAGAAGTTTTCAAAATAATATGCAAAACTTGCATTTTACCTCTATGTATTATTTTTAGCCATGTTGGCTTTCTTGGTTGACAGGCAGGGTCATCAGACATATTTTTAAAACTAGATACCCCAATAATGATTTTGGAAAAGTTTGGTTTAATTTGGCCCAGTGGTTTCAGAGGAGAAGATTTTTGTAAAAAGTAACAGACGATGATGATGCCGACGGAAGCCAAGTTATGAGTAAATTTCTGATTTTGAAAAATTTGGCCTTAAAACTTCACAAAATGGTTTTAAAAAAAATGGACCACTCTCAAAGCCCCTGATACAGTACTCATGTGGCAAACCACCTGTCTTGTACTGGATCCCTAAACATTTTCTGTTAACCAATCAAGGTCCAAGTGGCAACTTTGTGAGGATGTTTGTTTTTGACTGTGTGCAGAAAGTGAATATGAAACTATTCACACTATTCACACTATTTTTGTTTTTTATTTTACCTTTGCACTGACACTAGCTTGTAAGACAGTAAACATACTAATTTTAACGTGATGATCTACCAGCCCAGGACTGGACTCAATATACCACCTCTGTGGTCTTGTGGTATGGTGTTCGCGTCGAGTGCAGGAGGTTATGGGTTAAAGCCCGGCTTGGTCAAACCAAAGATATTAAAATTGGTATTTGCTGCTTCTGCGCTAAGCATGCAGCATTTAGGAGTAAGAGCAAAAACTGGTTGGCTCAGAGTCAGAATAATGTGTCCAGGTAAGGTGACATGTCTTCTTGTGGACTGTTACGTTATGAACTAGCATGTTAAAAATCTGGCTCAGTGTGTCGGTCTAGTACAAGGCAGGGTTAATATTCATATTACATTAACATGTTCTAGTCCTGAACAAGCATATTAATTTGTTGCTGGACATTAAGCAGCCATCCATTATCATCATCAACTGGACTCAATATAGCATAGGAGACAAGCTCCTACACTTGTGTATTTTAAATATGTCCAGAAAGCCCATTGGATAAGAAGATAGGTTGACAGGAAGAATATATTTTCACATAGCAAAAGTCATCAAAATGATATGAAATTACAGCAGAAATGCTACAAACGACAGAATTTTTTGTTATTTAAGAAAACAAACAAACAGGCATAATGTATTAAAGAATCAAGCCCTTGCGTCTATTTCCTTAGTTTGAAATTATTTTCTAGGTTTGCAACAACAAAATTTAATTCATCAAAAAAATTCATAAGATTTGGATAAAAGCTAAGATGTATGGATAGATTATATTCTGATTTTACGAATTCTACCAGGTTCTACTGAGATTTACTGATTCTCATATAGTTATGCCAGTTAAGCATTTGATTGGCTAAAGGAGAATTGAAATAATTGCCCTTTATTTATGTGCTAAATTTGTCGTAAAAGTTTTATCCAATGACCATCTAGTTTAACATTTGATTATTTCAATTAGAGGGCAGATCAGAGTTTTTCATTATTTCATAAATGTATTTTTATCACAGTTTTTCATTATTTCATAAATGTATTTTTGAATATAAAAAATAATCAATGGATTCCATAATAGCTACATAGTCATTCAACAACCATCTACTGTGAAAAATTGAGATAGTCCAATAAATGTGGTTCATAAGTGCATAATGAAATACATTAGCTTCATACAATATTTGTTGTACAATACAAAATAAAAAGAAAAATGGCATGCTGTAACATTTACAGCTGCATACTTAACATCTATCAAAATAAGCAGTAAACCTTGCATCGTTATCTCACTATAATGACTTGATAATTTTCCTCTCCATCAAATGTTTTAAAACAAAAAGATTATGTGGGATCACTCTTACTGGTTTTGGATGTAAAAAAACCTAGAGGGTTCAACAGGCAAATAAAAAGTTTAAAACTAGGTTTAAAAATCTCTAAAAATTGACTGCCTAACGTCCTTTGACTGCACCATTGTTCAAATATTCAAAATTGCAACATTAAAAATGGAATATCAAACAGATGCAAGCAAAAATAACCCCTTCTTATTTAAAATCAATCATATTAGAATATGTATGATCATAATCAGTACAATTAGAGATAGACAAGGTACAATGTAACAAACAGGTCATTGTGAAGTTCTATTTTAATTTTCTGTTCTGAATGTTAAAAAATACCCCAAACCTTTAATTTTGAAAAACTTTACAAGTAAACCTCATTTTGTACCATCACGTATATAAAAAAACCTATAAATAAAGTTATATTTGTAACTTAAACCTGAAATCAGTTAAGCTTACATAATGAGGTTCTTTATTAATAAATATATAACAATATATAGTTGGCTGCTTAGATTGATAATGATTATAAAGCTCAGCATCTTATTCAGCTTATGGCAGAGTACTATACATAGCATGGATTATAGTACAGTGATTCAGAAACTATCAAAACAAAAAGTGTCAATAACTGACATGCTCAAAGCTGGCAATACTCATGAATAAAAAAGTAGGTTGCCAAATATATCACTTAAATTATTCTTCAAAGCATATTCTATAGCAAATAATATCTGATACTATATTTTCATATTGGTAAATAAATCCATGCACATGTAAAGCAAAATTAAGAACATAAATGTCTTAGTGGGATTCTTACCATGTACCCCTGTTTCAATATCTATATAGGATTTAAAATAAGTTTTTTTTATTATTTTGTTATGTATAAAATTTCATTAAATGTAGGGGTAAAAAAATCACAATAGACAATTTTAAATAATACTGACTATGAAAACTTTAAAACTTCTTTGCCCCCTTTTTTAAATCTGAAAACAATTTGTCCAAAAAAAAAATGTATAGTAGTAAAATCAATACTGTACAAACAGTCTTACATTTTGTATTAAAACATTTACTGTAATAAAAAACAGTCAAAGTCCATCATAACCAATACCTGACCAGGGTATGGAATCGTATAAAAAAAACTATACAAATTTGTGAGAAGAGTTAGAAAATTCCAAGTTCATCATTTGGATATGAAATGAGTAAAACCTGCACAATGGCATTATGTAGGAAAGTTCCTGTGAACTTCTTTTAAACACAGTCAGTGGTTTAGGAGGAGTGGTGGATACAAGTTGTCTACACCTTTTTGAGATATGGCAAAGTCCTTGCACTACAAAATCTTTTCCCCCATGTTTTTTTTCATGAAATCCCCAAAATAAACTTGATAAATAATATATATAGAATGTGCACAATTGAACTATGTATTAAACATTCTGTAAAAATGAATGAATGGACAAAACTATCACCCTTTACTGCTGCTCCAGTAAGCAGATGTCAAAGGTTTTAAAACCTGAATGAAATTCAATTTATGTCATAATGTTTGATAAATTTCTTCTCCTTTAAGTTCTAGTGTAATACAGCTTAATTTCAAAACAGTTTTCCCTGAAACAGCATGCTGTGATATGTGTATAAAGCGTTCTGTTAGTTCAAGAGTTACTTATATCAGTATATGTATCAAGGATACTCATAGGAAGTTATTTTGAGTATACTTATACATTTGATGGGTGTCTCAGTGTATTATGTAAAACACTAATATTCTAGCTGATGGAGTTAGATTCTCAGACAATTGAAATTTCAAAAGAAGGAGGCCATTTTACCACATTGTTTTACTACTTTTTGTTGATATTTAGCTTTTCCTGGGTTAAACATTTACTTTCATAGCTATAGCTGTCAAATAAGTGTACAGTTATCTAATATAATAATAGCTGTTTCATTTTTACCAGGAACTTTTGAAGGTTCACAAAAATTATATTCAATAAAAATCATTTAATTGCAGCAACTAATTACTTTTCCTGAACACATCCATTTGTTTATAAAAATAAAGTAGTCTTGGTTACTGCCTCTTTACTCCCTTGTGGTAAACAGAAACGATAAGGAAGATATAGATCCAAGCCTTGTGCTTTTAATACTCCTTCACCAATTTTTTGAAAGTTTCCCAAAAATGTCTCTTTAGAAGAGTAAAAACATACAACAGACTCTAGGATTGCTTTGTTTTGCCTTCATTACTGGGTTGTAGGGAAGGAAAAATGCTTTAAACCCAACAATACCAAAAGAGCATATAAACGTAGTGTAATACGAAAAATTAAAAATTAAAAACCATAAAGGTAAATAATGTAAATAATTTTGACACCAAATGTTCATTTCAAATAAGGCATTGTAATTTAGGACATAAAAATACAAATCATTGGATTTTTCATCTAATGTGATTAAATAAATTTAACAGTCATAATTTCAACAGAGTACTTAACATCTGAGAATCCAACATTTTTTGAGATGGTCTCTGATAATATTATATATTTTCTAAGACACTTTATACCAGATATAAAAAGCCTTACCAATTGGCAGTTCTGGTACTGTTGGTTGTATCTCAGAGGGTGGAATATTGGTAGCAAATGGTGTCATTGGACCATTGACCATGCATTGTCCTAAATAATTCAATAATTTCTGTGCTCTGTTCTGAGATGGATTAAGGTGGAACAGTTGTGGATTCTCATCAATAAAGTAGGTATCCACTACACCTGACAGGAACTGTTTATGTTCTAAAACATTCAACAGGAATGGAATATTTGTCTGAAAATACATGGGAAAATATTAACAGGAATTTTGAATAAATGTAGAAAGTGCATATAATTTAGATAGTTGCAAAAAGTTTAAACATAGAACTAGAAAGCTAATATAAGAGCAAAGGAACTGCTTATGATTATACAAACATATACACTTTATTTCATGATGATCAAATTTCTACAAATTATTTTTTGGGATAAAAAGTTAATATGATACTTATCATCTGTGTAAATCTATAAATTCCAGCAAATGTCTTAGGGGATATGTACTTACTGAAAAAGGTTCATGCTTATATCTAACTTTTGTGTTGAAAAAAATATGCTTTTATTTGAGACATCACCAGATGTAACTAATCACAGAGTTTTTATTTTCAATGAGCAATATAATGGGGTATATTATTGGAGCAGAAACTGCCTACCCTTTTGGAACACCTGAGTTCACCTGCAGTTTTAGGTGTTGCTAAATTTTAGTTTTCTGTATAGACTTGTTTTAGTTTATTGTTTTGTCATTAACCAGGCTGCTATTTTTTCGTTTGAATTTTGTAATTTTGAGGCCTTTTATAGCTGACTATACTGTATGGGTTTTGCTACTTGTGGAAGGCTGCACATTGAACAATAGTTCCTTAAATCCCCTTCATTTACACTCAGTTGGATAGTTGTCTCATTGGCAATCATAACCACATTCCATATTACATATTGTTTTTTCATTTTTTTTTTATATATGGCCATGATACTGGTTTGTTTTTCTTTGCCTTATGGATTTTGATTGCCACTTGGTATCCTTCCTTTTATCTCTTTAAATCTTAATTGTTTATTATCTCCCTTTAAAATAGGCTTATGATGAATGAAAACAAACTAATTGCTGTGTAGGAAAAATAAATCTTCCATTTGTCCATAGTACTTTTTTATTTACTCTTGTATCTTGGTTAAGGTTGGTGAAATTAATAGTAATGTAGAGAAGACAAATTGTCTCCCTTTGGTCCCTTGTACTAACTTTATTTAAGGTAGATAACTCCCCATTTGTGTTAAAATGATTAGAAATTTTTTGAAAGTAGACTGTTGTAAAATAAATTTAAGACAACTGGCCCTACCTCTATATTCCTTCTGTTCCATAGTTCTTTCTTGACAGCTGATAAAATTAACCAGTTTTGAAGTTTATACTCATTTTCTCTCTCTCTCTTGTCCCAGTTTCCAAGGAATGTATTTATTATTGCCTCTTATAACTTTTAAAATTGATATCTGATAATTTTTTTCAAAATTCATTATGGTGTATGAAAAATGACAATTACACTGTAATTAATAACATACCTTCACACCTCTTATTCTGAATTCTTTGAGAGTTCTTAACATTTTAGCACAGGCTGACGGGTGATCCCAGGCATGTGCAATAACTTTGACCAGCAAAGAATCATAGTATGGAGATATTATAGCACCCGCAAAACCTAAAGCGCTGTCCAGTCTTATACCCATACCTTCTCCACTTCTGAATACCTAAAGAAAAACTACTATGTCAAGTTTATTTCATCACATCTCTGCCATTTTTTATCAACATAGCAATAGTTTATATACAAGATATTTATCTGAGGAATGCTATGATATTGAAAATAAAAATGAATTCATTCTGCTAATGAGTAGTACCTGAGAAAAGTGTGTGAAAAATATTTGTTGGATATATTAAGAAGGGACAGATGGACACGGTGAATGCAATATAGCCCTACTCATAGAGATGCCATCCATGTAAGTATACCAATAAGGTAAGATAATATGAAGATTTCGATATAGTCTAGACCATTTGTGTACAGTCCACATACCCATAGTCTGAAATAGATATCAAATTATATATCTAATTCAAATTATATATCTAATTCAATTACAAAACTTATGTGACCATAGGACACCATGCCAGCTTGCACAATCACATTTCCATGTTCAGTGATCAACAGAATCTGGATCAAAACCCTAATAGGGTTTATATTTTAAAAGTTCACATTATAATGCACTTATCTACATAAGTTTAAAGTGACCACAACTTCATGGTAAACTTATTTGACCAAATACTTTAATCTGATAAGGGACAGATGAATGAATGGAAGCAGAGACAGGAAAAAGTACTTCTAGCTACTTCATAAGCCTGGGTGTAAAAACAAGTAATGAAAAATAAAAGAAATTAATAATTACTGAAATAATCTCCTTTTCATTACTAACTTTCACCATATATATTTTTTTTATAAAGATAGGTACATGTATTACATAATCTGACAAATTTTTATGGTCTTGAATAATTGTATTTTATATATAAGAACAGACCTCTATTCTGCCAGTATCTGGTTGGAATTGTCTGGCAGGATCTTCTGTAGTCATCCTACACTGTATAGCACATCCATGTAATGCAATCTTATCTTGTTCAAGGCCAATTTCTTTCAGACTTCTACCTTCAGCCACTTTAATCTGGGATTGTACCAAATCTACTCTGTAATATTATTAATAGTTTTATATAGCTGAATGACAAGTATACATAATTATAATCCCATATCTAAACTGAAATACTAGGGTTAAAAAAGTCATCAAAATGGACCTGGTCATTGCCTCTGACCCGATTTTTTAACGAATTTAATTTTGGTATTGAAAGCAAGAGAAAAATCACATCTATTAACAGGCCAAGTTTGAGGTTAAATAATCAGGTGGGCAAATGGTTTCCAGTTGGAATCAGAAAATAATGTCATTATATTCAATGTGATCTTAGCCTGTAAATCTCAAATTCAACCGGTATTCTTTGAGTCACTTGTAAAATGCAGAAAGGACAGTTGTGATGCTTGACTGAAGGGATCTACTAAAAGTCTGAACATGTTTAATGCAGAGTGGACTATGTCCTTCATCTTGAACTTTAAAAGTAAATATAATGTTTATCCAGTTTTAATTGCAATATTTTCTGCAAAGTTTGAATGTGCTTGGTAATGATGTTTCCAGCTAGAAGTTAGAAATTTTTCTTGGGTTTCAGTGATTTCAATCCTGAAACCAGTAGGGTTCTTTAACTTCACTTAAACTATGTACTTGTAAAGAATCATGATTATGCACAATATTCTGGATTCTATATTGGCATTTAGATTGGGTTGTTCTTTGCAAGTTTGTATTAAGATCCTCTATACCTAATAGTTAAATACTTTTTCCTGATTTAAGCCACTTTCAGTGAACCTGTTTGTTTCATTCAAATATATAATTCTCTTGAAAACTTTAACATGGACTTTTCAACTGCTCTTGGAAAAAAAATGTTTAAGCATAAAGACCTTTTCCTTTTTTTTCTGTACAATCAATAACTAGGAAATAATTAATCGATTCCCATTAACTAATCTTTTTTTAACCTCTCAAATTAATATACCGTATTATAGAAATACAATTACCCTGTGACTTCTTCTGTAACTGTATGTTCTACCTGTAGACGAGCATTTACTTCAATAAAGAAGTACTGTCCATTTGTATCGAGTAGGAACTCTACAGTACCAGCATTTTCATATCCTACAAACTGTGCCAGTTTTATAGCATCAGCTGTCATACTATCTCTAATTTCTCTGGGTAATTGTGGTGCTGGTGCTATCTCTACAACTTTTTGATGTCGTCTTTGCACAGAACAATCTCTTTCATACAGATGTACAATATTTCCATAAGAATCACCTAAAACACAAACAACATTTTCAAGGGCAGTTCCATCTAAATATTGGTAGCATAACAATTTAAATTTAACTATATATATTAAAACACATAGATTTGTCTCATCTTCAGACCTGCCAACTATCCCGATTTTGGCAGTATCATCCTGATTTTCATGCCTCAACCCGAATCCCGATACCAGGATCGTAAAGCAAGTCAAAATCCTGATTTTCACAAAATCTACCCGCAAAAATTGTTGGTTACCGATTTTGAAGTTTTTCTGATCAATTTCTGTAAATCTATAATTTTACCTGGCTACATATTTATGACAAGTTTACGACCCCAAGTTAATCAACGGTCACAATAGTTGTCATAATCTGTTGTCACAGGTAATCTGCTTATCCGATGGGTCATAAAGATCCTCAAAATTAATTAATTTGTAAATAGAACCGGTGAGTCAGCATTTCAATTTTAATCAATTTACATACGATCACAATTTGCAAAGTTTACCGTAGTATCATGACAAAAACGTAATTAACTGAAAGATGAAAACTGTAATGAACTCATTATGAAACATCATTTATCTTGAAATTCGTGAAAATTTTTGTAATCACATCAGACTTTTTTCTGTCCAGTTCTGTTTTAAAATCAACGCCATATTGTATTCACTTCTACTGTGTATAAGCCTCCGCCGGTAGGAGCACCTTTGAATACCAAGAAAGATAACTCAAATTTTATCCATTTTCTCAGTACTGATAACTAACTCAAGATCTGTTTCCATCACATTTAGGTTTAGGTCTTTTGAGGCATGGTGGAAAGATAAAAGGTCTTTGAAGGGGGAAAAGGAGGGGGGTCTTCATTTTGTATCCTTTATTTTATTAGGCCATTTTTCTCTTTTCTTAAGTTATTTTGCCAATCAATAAGTACAAGAATCATGCAAATAAAAGAAATCAAGGCTTGTTAGCTCACCATCAGTATACCATAAGAAAAAAAAGAAGAGATATGAGACTATTTCAAGAGTATAAAACAGTGCACACAGAAACGCCGCAAAAATGTTAACCCTAAAAAATCAGGTCACGCACTAAATCCCCCATGGGGATTTTCAAAAGTTGGCAGGTCTGCATCTTTGTAACCTTATCATAGACGTTAACAATTTTGATGCAGGCGAAAAAAAACTAATCCTGAATTTTCACTCAGCATAGAAACTCAATTTCAGACTTCTTTTTCAAGTTATCATACAAATTTTAATTGAACATCTACAACGCAAAGGAGATATAACAATATAAATGCAAAGGATATATTCAAAAGAAAATTATTGGGTTGAAAATTGAACTAAGCTTATTTATTGTACATGGCCAAATTGGAAGCAGGTGCACCTTAAAAGTCTGCATTTTATGGTTTGTCAACACAATGCACTATCTAACAATACTTGACATTTAAAGTTATTTTGAATCTTATGTTCTCATTATTGACATGGGGATGAATTTGAAAATAGTTTTTGACATCAACACCCTACTATAGGAAATTAAATACAATAATGTCATTTGCAACAAACTGATGTTTTAACAGTGTTGTCAAACAAAAAGGAAATGAAAAATTCCTCAATATGGGATTTTTAAATATACAAACCCAAGATCTGTACTTCTATATGTCTAGGTCTCTCAATGAATTTCTCTAGAAACAGAGCTCCATTGCCAAAGGCTGATTCTGCTTCAGAATATGCACGATGAAAATTTTCTTCAACTTCCTAAAATAGCCAATTAGTTCAAATTGAATTATATATCCATCCCATTTGGAATATTTCAATATGTTAAAAATATTTTCAAAGAAGTTTTCCACTTCAAGGTTCCCTCTATAATTTTCATTAACCATTATGGATATCAAACCAATATTACAGATGACCATGAATATTTTGTACTTTTGTAGTCACAATTCAGTCCTTTTCACTTTAGGTATGACTAAAAAACATTTAGTTTTTAAATGGCACGAGCAGGTGCCAATGGTTGAGAAGGTGCATCAGAGTTCAACGATTCCTCCTTTTGTCTTTCAAAGAATGAACTCAAGACTAAATATATAAACAGTAGACCTCTCCTCTAAAACAATTATTCTCACCTCTAATTTTCGGACAACCCTCATACCCCTACCACCTCCACCAAATGCTGCTTTAAATATAACAGGTAGACCATACTGTTCACAAAATAGATAAGCTTCTTCAGCATTATGGACTGGGCCAGGTGTTCCAGGTACAACTTGTACACCTGAAAATATAAAGTACTAAGAAAATAATGCTGTACATACTCTTTAGCTGTGTGTATTAAGGCTAAGATTACAGGTGCATTTTGAACAAATATTAATAAAAAGTAACTTGTATTTTACATGTATGTACTATAAATCACATCAAAGTCACTTGAATTTTGAATGACAATTAAGGAAAGTTTGGTTAATAATAATGTTTAATGTTTAACAAAAAAAGGGTTAAAGAATAATGTTAAATTAAGTATAGTATATAAATTTACAAATTTGAAGTCAGTATGAGTTGAAAATGAATATTATTATGTCACTGCAAAACTACCATGCTTTTCAAAAATATTTGTCTTTATTATACAGTATATAATTAGTTGCAATATAAGATGTGAATGTGTAAGCTATGAACTGAAAGGTAGAAGATTCATATAATATTACCTGCATCAATAGCTGCCTGTCGTGCCTCTACTTTATCTCCCATTTTTCTTATGACTTCTGGTGATGGACCAATTAGCTGTATACCAGCATCCACACAAGCATCAGCAAAATCTGATCGCTCTGATAAAAATCCATATCCTGGATGAATAGCATCTACTTCATTTTCCTTTAAAACAGTTTACAGAATTACAGAAAAGAATAGAAAAGAGCTTTGATAAAACTACTTGAACAAGAAGGACAATGTTAAATCAGTTTTAAAGAATAACTTCCAATAAAAGATTTTTCTCAGAAAAACACCTCAAATTTTGGACACTTATGAATGAGGGAATGGTGATAAAGTTTGTTTCCTTGAATGCCAGGATTTGAAGTTAATGAGGTGTAATCTGAACAATTAAGCAAAACAGAGCATGTAAAAATCTTTTGATATGATTCATGCAAAAAGGACAAAGGAAGATAACTCCAATTTTTAAAATTACTTGGACAATGACATCATTGATATTTTTAGAAAAAAAATGAAAAATTCAGCATTTTTTCCATTTGTAAAGGGGCATAACTCTAGAACAGTAAAAAGTGATGCCACCAAAATTCAAACTTGATCTTTGTATTGTGGTAATAAGCATTGTGTATAAGTTTCATAACATTTGGTTGAGGCAAACTTAAGAGAACGGAAATAAAAAATTTTGCAATTTTTCCATTTATAAAGGGGCATAACTCTAGAACAGTTAAGTGATGCCACAAAAATTCAATCTTGATCTGTGTTTTGTGGTAATAAGCATTATGTATAAGTTTGATAACATTTGGTTGAGGCAAACTTAAGTTAGAGAACAGAAACCAATTTTGGGACGTACGTACGTACAGATGGACAAGGGTAAAACTTAATGCCCCCTCTGCTTCGGCGAGGGCATAAAAATGTATATTCTTCCAATATAAGAGGGCACACCGGGCACCTTTATCTGCCCCTGTATGTTTTTTTCTAACATATAATATGGAAACACATAAATTGATAATACCTGTGCTATTTGGATGATCTCAGGTATATTAAGGTAGGCAGCTACAGGTGGCAGACCTTTACCTATTAAATAACCTTCATCTGCCTTCTGTCTATGCATGTGCATTCTGTCTTGTTCGGAGTATATAGCCACTGTCCGAATATCCATCTCAGTACATGCTCTGAACACCCTGATGGCAATTTCACCTGAAAAGTAATAAATTTAGCTAATCTAATGTAGTTAGTTTGGTAAGTCAACTTTTTTTTTTAAATTTGAAGCCATATTTCTTCTGTCAAAAGCATTTGGCATTTTTCTGATTTTTCAGCAGATACATGTAATCACAAAGACTGAATTAGATATCTTCCATTCACATTTATCTGTCAAAAGTAAACATCTTTTCAAAATTTCACTTAGAAAAAAAATGTAATGAAAAATATAGAAAATAAGGAACAATTAGGATTATAGTTTTTACTAAGAGTTAAAATAACATGAACAGACATATAATGCACAAATTTTAAAGCTAACACAATTATTTTGATTTTTCTTTATAATCATTCCTCCAAAAAACTACAAAGTAAATAACACTGCAAGTATTACATGTAAGATGAGTTATATACTTTACCATTTATATTGAGATTAAACTTTTTGGAAACATAGGAAACCAATATACAAATTCATCAATAGGCATATATTAAAAGATGTCTGCCATTAAAAACCATAATGGTGCAGTTAATCAAATTGGCACATTAATAAAATGTTGGAAATGGAAGTGAACGGTAAATCGTAAAAGCCAAAACAGATAGTTAACTACTATCTTATCAAACTCTGTCATAGCTCTCACCTCTATTGGCAACCATTAACTTTTTAATTTTTTGCCTAGTGGCTGGATGTTCAGAGGCATACTGTCGGATAAGTCCAACAGGAAGCTTATAGCCATGTCTCTGCTTGGTTGGTATAGACTCGGCCAAGTGACATCTTGCTGTTGTACACAAACTGGATACCCTTGACTGCAGTCTAAACATGGCTAGTTTTTTAATCCACTGTTATAAATCAGTCTTTATTGGTGTAACTTTCCAATCTGAAAGATAAAACACTTTTTAATTTTTTCAGTAAAAGTAAAATGCATATAAGTTCATTCATTCATTTAATATAATACAGACAGGAAAACAAAAATTAAACCAAACAAGTCTTCTATATAATCTTCATGGTAAAATTCAACAACAAATAAATCAAACATTTCATGTTCATTTCAATAAATTAAAAGTTATGAGGTAAAAACTAAACCAAATGTGAACTCTACAGCAATTATTTAAATGCTTTAACTTCTCATGTGATAATATATTCAAAAAAAAAATCAGAACTATATATATAGACCAATAACTAAAAATGATATCTTTTATTAAAAAGTATTTCTTTTTTTACATTCCACTAAAAAAACTTGCTGTTGTGTAACTTGTGTTACACATATATTTTTGTTATACTATTTCTCACCTATAACATGCAGAATTAATTTGGCATACAAACACTGAAATCAAAATAAAAAGCTTATAATATTCACAACTGGAATTCCTGGACATATAATGATGACATTGGACTTTAAGCTTAAACTTTTAAAATCATGCATAACATTAGTGCATGCCAAGGACAGTGCCCTGCTTAAAACTATAATCAGCAAATCATTATCTACCTTTAGTCTTCAAGCAAAAAGTTAAATTTACTTTAAATAAACACAAAATACATGATTTCAAAATTTAAGAAAATAACAATTAAAGAGGAAGAATAGAATATATTAATAAATGATATTATAACCCAGATTTCATATTTTGAAAATACATGTCCAGTGAGTATTTCAACATTTGTTGTTTCCAATACAAATTCAATAAAGTATAGTATACTACTTTCACTCACAAATGGATAACCATGCATTGACTCAATAAATCATCTTACACTTACATGACTTAAAAAATCTTGAAAGAGATTTTAAATGAAAATACTTATTAGAAAACTTATATAAAAAGGTCTCTTATAATATTTTAAAGTCAACCAAAAACAAACAAACAGGTAAAATAAGTGTAAAAGTAACAATAGTATTTAACCTTACCATCAACTGTTTATGTTTACTACATGTATTTCCTGGTGAATGTATTGTATAGATATACATCCTGGATTACAGAAAATTACTTGTAGTTATTTATGTCCTGTATATACATGTATATTTCAGCAATTACAAAGTAAAAAAAAATATTAATAGCACTGCTTTTTTTCCTTTTTTTTCAAAAAGTCAAAAATGTTCAAATAAGAAGTTGCATGCAAAGCTCTGCAAAGTACAATCTCACTTATCATTAGACATTCACAAAAATCCATACTTGAAGGTTGGTATTCTGAAAATTTGCAAAGGGTTCTGCAGTTCCCTGTGTCTCGCTTGATATTGCTGCTGTCTGTGTTAAAGAGTTATGTTGACTGATAAAACTAAGTCTATTTATCAGTAAAATACAGAGTTTTTTTTCTCCTCAGATCTAGAAGATTAGCTTCTGTCCTAGTAAAACTGAACATTAAAAAGTTCCAGATAAAACATCAATTCAAACCCTAAAACAATAGCATGTACATGTAGAAATCCTTTTGATTCCAGTCTAAAAAGATCACAAACATTATCATATCATCAAACTGACTCATAACTGTTACTAATTATGTTCTTTTTCAGTAGTATCAAAGATGAACAAGGATGCTGCAATTCAAAGTATCAGTTTGCTACCAAGCATAATTTGAATACATGATTTTTGTTTTTTTTTTCTATAGGAGCATATACCTTTGCCTTGGACCTTGAATGTCATAGAGATCCTCTCATCATCATTAGAATTAAGAATAACCAGGAGTTACTTTTACAAAGCCATTTAGTGTGTAAAAATGTGAAAAATTTGAAAAGTGTATATTCATGATATTATTAAGTTGTTTATTTAACTTTTTCATTAGCTTCATGTTTCCCCAGTTTGTTTAAGTTTGATTAAGCTGTTTAGTTCTTTATTGCAGTATCAAGATTTTTAAAATCTCTACATGTGAGCCTAGCAATCACCAAGGTATAAACAAACAGGAGTCTAGTTAGCATATTCATGCAGACAATAGAACGTTAATTTCTTGAATAATTTGTGGACCCTAATATTTTTCAGATTATACAAAAGTGAGCCATGAAAATCCCACTTTAACTGCTTCATTCTCTCCATGTTGTAGTAAACAAAGAGATGGCAAACAGATGATAAATTCCAGAGACATTCAAACACCTTCAGTTTTGTTAATCTCCTTTGTACCCTGATTGCATAACTTTGGCTTACCGGTACATATAATAATGTTCAGTTTTATGTGAATTCAAGAAAGAAGATTCGTTAAAAGTCAATTACTACAAATATAGGTGTCAGACCACCAATTAAATATCCCTATCTGTTCAACCAAATTTTGCAATTTTCACAGCTTTCTAAATATTTTACCTTAAGTTTAACTTCATAGAAACCAGGTATATCCTGAATTGTACATGTATCAGCTTTCTGCATGCCAATTTTCAACATACATTTAAAGCCTTCTAAGAAAAAAACTGACCTTCAAAAAGAGGTACTCCAAAAATAACCCCTGGTTTTCTGGAAATCTTAAATTAGTATACTATGGAGCGCATTAATCCTCAATTTTTAATGCAAACTCATAGACAAGTAAATTTTGGCTCAAAATGGTCTAAATATATTTTTCTTTCACCAAAAGTTTCATTTCTGCAAATTTGTTGGTTAGTTTAAGTAAACAAGGACATCAAAAGCACTATTTTGTGTCAGAGTAGAGCTACTTTTACATATATTCTAAATTAGAGGGAGTAATTGGTGGTCTGACACCTATACTCCTAGCCAGTAAATTTAGATACAATCTGGGTAAACTTATCTATCTTTTTAAATAAATTAAAAGGTTACCAATATAACACTGTAATTGAATCACTGAGTTTTGTTTCTGTTGGTATAAATATTGATTTTGTTATCACTAAAATAAGACCAAACTAAATAGTGTTGCTATAAACATATGAACATTCATGGTCCTGCATTGTAGATGCCTAGATTTTGGCATTGCACAAGATCATGTTTTCCTCTGGCTGTTAGTGATGACTTTACACTGAATTGATTGGATGTTGGATGAGTAACCATTGATATTTTGGTCTTAGATGCATGATTTTTTATTGGTTGTTGTTGGCTTTGAACTAGCTTTCAGTGATTGTGAGTGCTTTCAGATCTGTACTTTGTTTTTTTGGCATTTTGTTAATTGTTTTTGTGCTTTGTATCAAATGATGACTTCCGCCCTTTCCAACTAGTTTTTATAGTTGTTTTAGTGTTGTGCTGTTTCACCACTGTCCAACATTAGAAGAGGGTTGGACATTTGCAAACATGTTTAAAACAAGGACTTATTTGAATCTGGAATAATTTAGAATCCTGGAAAATTGATAAAGAAATGTTTGATGAAAACTAACCCAACTTTAGTGGGTAAGCCATGAGCGCATGGCTAAGGTTCAATTTACTTTCACAGACAAGTATGAACTAACTCACCCCCTTAGCCATGCATGACCTCCTTAATTAGGTTAACTCACCCCACTTAGCCATGCATGACCTCCTTAATTGGGTTAGTTTTCATCATACATTTCTTATTAATTTTCCAGAATTCAAAATTATTCCACATTCAATAATTCCTTGTTTTAACCACACCACATTCTGAATGTGCCTGTTCCATGTCAGGAGCCTGTAATTCAGTGGTTGTTGTATGTTTGCTGTATATCATATCTGTTTTTCATTTATTGTTTTGTTCATAAATTAAGCTGTAAGATTTCTTGTTTCAATTGTTTTACATTTGTTATTTTTTTACCTGTTATAGCTTGCTATGCATATGCAGTATGGGTTGTTGAAGACTGAACAGTGACCTATAGTTGATTACTTCTACGTCGTTTGGTCTGTCTCTTAGATAGTATAAGCAATACATTTTTTGCATGTTAACTTTATTTAAAGTATGGAAGGCTTGTAAGGTGTACATGTCTGTCTGGCAAGTTTCCTCTGAACTTGATATATTTTACATGGATCATTGATAAGATTAAGTTTATGTGGTTCAACCATGATCAGTAAAGCAGTAGAAACATTTCAGTGTGTGCACTCTTATTTTTCATAACATTGTTTCAAGCAATAAAAAAAGATGGAGACACGATGAGCTGATCATTGCTAAGAGACAGACCAAACAAATAAATTTTGAAATAAACCAATGAACCATTAAAATAAGGTCAAGGTCAGATGAAACCTGCCAGACAGACATGTACACCTTACATGCACATTCTCCAAATTTAGTTGACTTGTTGTTTATAGTATCTGAGAGACAGACCAAACAACTAAAACTCAACATTGACCAATGAATAATGAAAATAAGGTCGAGTTCAGATGAAATCTACCAGACGGATACACATTACAGTCAATCCATACATCAAATGTAGTTAACTTTTATAACAATCAAACCACATAAACTATACAATGACCATTAAACCTGACATGAAAAAGATGTCAAGGTCAGACAGATGAAAACTGCCAGTCAGACATGTACACCTTACAATCATTGCATACACAAATATAGTTGGCCTATTGCTTATAGTACAATGTATCTGAGAATTGGACTTGACGTAATCAAGAAAAAAAATTTAAGCAACTGCTGAACACAATGAAAATAAGTTTACCATGTTTAAGGACACAGGACATTAATTATGCAACCCCCTCCCCCTTTATGGAGCTTTATTTATTGTTAATCCAGACTTTTTACTGCCTCCACTACAAATTTTGTTTAGTTTGTGGGCCTGTACCCCCTCCCCAACCCCAACCCCAACCCCTTTTCAAAATCCTGGATCTACAACTGTAAAATATTGGTGAGGACACAACAAACAAGAAAAATTGTGAACAAAACCTTTAAGTTTGAAATTTGTGACCTTGACCTTTAAGTTTGGAATTTGTGACCTTTGACCTTTAAGTTTGAAATTTGTGATCTTGACCTTTAAGTTTGAAATTTGTGACCATGACCTTTAAGTTTGAAATCATATTATTTCAGTAAATCCATTAATCCGTCTGATCATGCTGATACCAGTGAAAATTCATACCAATTATCATCAAATTTATCTTCCAAGAAGTAGGCAAGATATAGAGTAGACATACTGTTATACACAGTTATACTTATGAATATTGTGGATTATTTTATTTTCGATACAAATTGGCTAGGATTGAGGAAAATTTTTGTATAAGTGGATATTTACTTTTTTTTTTGGTTTTGACGAAGTCTGCATACAAAAGCCTATGGAAAATTGGTATGAAAATTTTGAACTAGAACTTTTTGTAGTTTGCAGTTACACATAAAATCTAAGAAAATTGATTTCCTAACAATAGCAATCTGAAAATGAATTCATAGTAATTCATATTCTTTGATAAATATAGCAATATTACAGGTGTATTAATTAATTAATATCAACAAGCTATACAATTATCATTTCATACCTTGAAATTAAAGAAACGCTTCTGCCTCCGAGTGAAATACACACGATAAGTTTACCTTGACATCCATGGGTAATTTATAATACCCATATTTTACGTTTTAGAAAAACAAATATATATATATATATATATCAATACATATCTGGCAAAAGAGAGGTCTGATGTTGTTATCAAACCTGAGAAAAGTAACTGACAATATACATACCAATGTCACATACCAATAAATCTATGCAAGCGACAATTTTCTTATGATTATCATGTATTTGACTTGCATGAAGCCGGCTGCAGACGATCTGCTTCCGGTAAGAGCGAGTCTATAAGGGTCGTGCTGGACAAAATATATTAGTTGTCCTCTTCCCAGAGCCAATATTGCATTTTGCGGCACATGGGAGTATCATAGTAGCCACGATAGATGAATATACTCTTAAAATTATTCTATGATAAGTTTACTGCAACGTATGAGTTTTTTTTTATTTTTGAATACGAACAGAGAAGCAAGTGGACGACTCATGTTAAGGTACGAATACACCTATAGAAACACGGAAGTAGATATTGGGGAGATAATTCTGTATATTTTTTATGATGCTGACAGGTGCTTGTCAGCTTTCATCATCGAAATCTCCTTCAAGTTTTAAACTAAATACTTTTGGCATTCATTGCAAATTCTTTCTATCAAAGTTTTCAATTACATTTTGTGGAATTTGTCCTGTCATGAACTCTCCAGGAGGAAATTTTCAAGCTTGTATCTCACTATCTGTGTACCGGGGTAAACAAGGTTGGTTAAAAAACCGGCCAATTCCAGTATAATTTGACCTGGCCGGTGATAAATACGGGAAAATACTGGCAAATTCTGGTCAATATTGGTGAATTGAAATTACTATAAAAACTAAAGTTTACAATTAATTAGTTTGCAAGTCTGAATATATTAGTCAGAAAGCTTTATTTAAAGTTCATCAAGGATTTCACTATACAAATCCTTGAGTTCATGTATATGTATCTGGATGATTTGTTCTAACTCCGATTCGTACCAACCAATTCGTCCCAAGTTGCTTTGTCATTTCGCTCCAACTTTTTAAAGAGCAGTGTATTATCATATTATCTATTAAAATAAACTAAGCGCATACAAGTTTTTTATGCATTCATTAAAAGAATAAACCTGTACTCAGCTTGGATCATAAATGCTTGTAAATAATAATTGAAACCATACCAAATGTATTATGTTTTTTATTGTGCATGGTTACTTATCATTAATACTGGTTGTGTATGTTTTCCAATACACAATTTTACTCAGTTTCTTTGTACGAAACCGAAAAAATGTCACTTCAAGGAAAGATGGAAAACAAAAGAAACAAAAGTGTGGGCTTGGAGGTGTGGAATTCTAAAACCCATTTTTTGATAGGTCAACTTCTTTAAAACCGTCTTGGACTCATTAAACTTAGTTTTTATTGCATAAGACAGATTATCCCAAATTATCATACAGGTTGACACCAGGAAAAAACAAAGACAACCCAAAAGAATAGTATGACTAAATAAACAAATATACTTCACACAATTCTGCATGTTTTAACACATTGTTTGTTAAAATCAAACCATAAATGCCTTCAAAATAATTTATTGTAGAATGTCCTTTTATATGAAATATACAGAAAAAAATGGGTGAAATTACTTTTGCCATGAACAGTGCACCGATTTGTACAAAAAATTGTAAAATACGGTGACATAAAAATACAAAAAGTTGGAACACATATTTTTTTCTCGGACCAGTGTTTGTTTTATGTCTGTTTTGTTTTACTAACATCTTTCTGTCGGGCTGTTCAATATAGTTATTATAAGAATTCTTCGACTGCTTAATAATTTGTTTATATATTCCGTTATTGGAATTCTTATTCAATGTTATGACTTTGGACCTCTTTCAATTTTCTCATTACCCTTAATAAATCATGATTTAACGAAATGGCAAGAAATCAAAATACACCACTGCTCCAAGGATATTCACAATACTGGTACAAAATTGTATTCCTTGCGATCGCCAAGTACAGGAGATTCCAATAATGAGTTATAAATGTAGTAATGAGCTGAGGCAGGAAAAAATTTAGAAAGTGAACATTTTGAGGTTTTAATACATGTAGGTTATGATCCAAAATTTTTAAAATAGAAATTAAGTTATAAAAATACTTTTGTTGAAGTGTTTAAATTTACGATGGTTTAAACTTGTCCCCATGAAAATTTCTATGCAAAGTACATTTTTCAACAGGGCCTTATATAGCTTCAACTGGTTTTTGACAACATAAAAAAGTTGTGTTATTTCATAACTTATCTGGATTAGAATATATAGTGATCACTTCAAATTCAGTGGCAGAGAAGCATCACCTTTAAATTGCCTGTGGTGATCCTTAGTCCTGATACTGATATCCGCCAGACTTATGTTTTGTGAACATCTGAAAAGTGTTATTTGATTTATTTATGATACTTTTTTGCTCACCTAGCTAAAGCCCCCTTGTAAGTTTTGCCATTTTGTATTTCAAAAACTAAAGCAATTTATGGAAAACTAATTCTGGTAGAAATGATCAGGTCATTTATCCCGTCTTCCTCCTTGCAAATTTTCAGAAAAATCAGACAACCAATTTTGGAGTTTTTGTCCCTAAAATGTAAATTTATAAAAAATTTTAAGTTTTTGAATTATATCTCAAAGACTAAAACAGTTAGAACAAAAATAATAAGATAAAAATTATCAACATGCCAAGGTTTATTTGTTGTCTTACTTGTCTAATTTGCTGAAAAAAGGGCAATCTAATTATAGAGTTATTGCCCCTGAAATGTAAATTTTTATTAAAAGTTTTTTAATATTGTAAATATTATTTGATAACCAAATGATAACTATTATATATAAATAGAAATTTTTATAGAAATTAACAACTAACTTGGGACAGTGGTGTAACAATACAACATAAGAACAAACTATAAAAATCAGTTGAAAAGTGCTTAACTTATCAGATCGATACAAAGCAGAAAATATCTAACAAAAACACAGAGTGGACGTGGCAGGGTACTTATACATCCCCACAACAAATAGACACTAAGTACAGATCTAAGAGTACTCGCAGTTTCTGACAGCTAGTTCAAAGCCAATAACCACTAATAAACAACAAATAAACAAACAAAAAAAAACCAAAAAAATCATGCATAAGACTAAATTTGACATGAAACATAGAATTTCTATTTTTTATCTAATTTAAACATGATTTTTTCCGTAAGTTTATGGGTGGTTAAAGTTAAGATATTATAACAAGTTCTTGTTCATTTTGTTTTTCCTATGGCAGCTTAAAAACCTTACTGGTAGCTAACAACCTCACATAAAATGGCTGACAAGGAAGAGAGAAAAGTAGTTGATGAAAAGAGATTTGCCATTTTCAGTAAAGATACTATTAGAATAATTGCTGATTCAGTGGGAATTACAGAAATAACAGATCAGGCAGCCACACTTCTGGGGGAGGATGCAAGCTACAGGCTAAGGGAAGCAACACAGGTATATATGTTGATATTATGACATAAGGTTCTAAATGCACATGAAACATGAACATATATTCATGTAGACATTTACATTTACCACAGTGTGTCACATGCTTAAAGAAGATACATTGTTATTACTTTTTCTTATGCATAGTTTATTACTAAAATGGTAAATTAACAGGAAATAATCTGGGACTAAATTTACAGAACTGTATCTCTGGAGTAGACCCATTACATGTACAATGCCAAACAGAAAAATTGTGTTCTTCTGCTAAGACACCATGATTTTAGATTGCTACATGTAGTATTTGGAACATTAAAACTCAACCTATGTTAATAAAAAAAAATCAAAAGCTTGGGCATAAATCTGACATTTCCTTACGTATAAATTACAGATTTAACAATCATAAAATTTTCCTTTATTTTAATAGAATAGTTCACAGTATATGAAACATGCAAAGAGGAAGAAGCTTATGACAGATGATTTTAATAAAGCATTGAGGAAAAGTGATGTTCAGGTAACTGTATGTTTGATTAGAATTTATAAGTGTGTTTTTTTTAAAACTTAGACAGAATTGGATTAAGAAATATTGATTGATTGATTGATTGGTGTTTAACGCCACTTTCAACACTATTGTGCTATTTCTTGGCGGCCAGTTTTAATTGGTGGAGGAAGCCGGAGTCCCCGGTGAGAACCAACGACCACAATGCTTATTACCACAAAATACAGATCAAATTTGAATTTTGGTGGTGTCACTTTAACCGTTCTAGAGTTATGCCCCTTAAGTAATGGATTTTTCGTTTCCGTTCTCTAACAAGTTTGGCTCAACCAAATGTTAGGAAACTTATACACAATGCTTATTACCACAAAACACAGATCAAGTTTGAATTTTGGTGGCGTCACTTAACTGTTCTAGAGTTATCCCCCTTTACAAATGGAAAAATTGCTGAATTTTTCGTTTCGGTTCTGTAACTTTAGTTTGCCTCAACCAAATGTTTTGAAACTTATACACAATGCTTATTACCACAAAATACAGATCAGGTTTGAATTTAGGTGGCGTCACTTTTACTGTTCTAGAGTTATGCCCCTTTACAAAAGGAAAAAATTGCTGAATTTTTCATTTCTGTTCTCTAACTTAAGTTTGCCTCAACCAAATGTTATGAAACTTATACACAATACTTATTACTACAAAACTCAAGATCAATAACAAATTTGGGTAGTGTCACTTTTACCATTCTTCAGTTATTTTTTTATTAATTTGAAGACATAAATTGAAAACAGTCATTTTCATGTGTCAGTCTCATTTTAGGAAACTATATAGACAGTGTGAGTTGACTCTCATTGATGGGCTTAAGGTAAAATGCATAATAAGTATTGTCTGGCTGGTCTTATTAGTACATTTGTGTAGTTCCAAGTTGACTCAGTCTAATTTGACCTGGTCCAATTTATCTTCAGACCCAGTTTGTCTTACATTCCTTTGACTAACAGCATGGTTTCATTTTGGACATGCACTGAACGCAAGTGTTAAAAATAACTATTAACAATGTTTAAATATCTGGGT